CAAGCGCAACAACAGAGCGTCACAATCAGATAAATTTTCATACGCTATTTTGCCTTTTTGCAGAAAAAAAATTGTGAGAGAGAAAAAAAAATCCATTAAAAGTTCACTCTAATAAAATACAATCTGCTGGCATTTTTTTAAAAAAAATTTATTCATTCTTAATTGGGTGGAAAATAAAATTGAAAAAGTTTAAATGCAAAAAAAAATTAATTTTCAAGACTCCTTTTTTTGCTGTAAAAATAAATAATTGTAGAGATTAAAAATGGTTTTCTAACATTTTTTTTTCACGATTGACTAATTTGATTATTCGCTTTTCGAAGAAAAAAAAAAATAGTTGGGATAGTTATGAGAAGAATTACTGCGAGGTAAAATTGGATCGGAAAAGCAAAACTCAATAAATCTAGAGATAATAAAGAAGAGATTGGTTTTGTCGTCCCTTGGATGAAGAATTTTTCATTATATTGATTCTGATCAGAAAAGAAGTTAAAGTGGCATAATATTGACGGAAGGAAAGAGAGAACTAAGTGACCACTAAATAGGAAATATATATCTAGGTTTAATAATAAATATTATAGTAGCAAAAAAATTGCAATTATAAAATGATAAAAGCGTAATTGTAAAATAATAAAAGTGTAATTATAAAATAATAAAAGTATAATTGTAAAGTAATTACATTATCTAGTTCTAGCAAAAGGAAGTTGAAAATTGTTTTGTTTATATTTTTGTATGAATTTTTTCATTTTCGGAAATAAAATTTTTTGATGATACAAAAGAAAGGAAACTATAAAAAGAAGAGGATGAATTATTTCGAGAAAACTGAGTTATCGGTTAATGAACACCCCCCCCCCTTCAAACCCCTCTTATCGAAACGGGGGAGTGTTGAACGATTCTCTAGATTCTCTAGTGCAGTGTACAGACCCTATATTCTTCCCTACCGCACACCCGTCAATTGTGTGGACCTTCATTTTCTCTCTCCCTCTCTTCCCGTCACTCTCTTCAACAAGTCAGAGAATTTCAGATATAATTTATACCGTCAAGTGTTCGAGTATTCGAATTCTTAGGCGTTTCATTCGTCAGCACAATTAAACGAATTAATAGGCGATCCTTGTCGAGAATCTCTTTCCCCATCTACCTCCATTTTGCACCTTTTTTTTCTTCCCTTCTTTCATTCTCATCTCGCAGTTTAACGTTTGCTGCATCAACGCTTTGTGGGCGTCACGTCGTCAATTATTTCACTTTTCATTAATAATATTAAAAAACCACAATTTCACCGATAAAACTATTTTCGACTCTAAAAATATGATTTAAAAAAAAGGAATTTAATTTAGATTTAAAAATCTTTTTTATAAAAGAATCCCATGAACAGGAAGACCTAATGGAAAGAAACAAAAAAGGATAAAAAAATAAAAGAATTTAGTGAAGGAAAAGGAAATTTAATTTCCACCAAATTGGGGATTTGTTGCGAAGGGTGAAATCCATTAAAACTGATTTAGTAGGAGAGGTCACTTTTGTAGTGTTTCGATTAATGATGTTGAAAGTCGTTAATATATCTTCACTGACAGAAATGGAAGACAGTGGCTTTTGTCGTAAAGTGAATATATATATATATGTAGTACAACCGGAAGTAGTGCCATTGTCTAGGAACCCTTGACGACTTCCTGTTCGCAATATTTCGACCGGACTTCGCGAATCGTACATTTAATGGGGATTTCCAAGCAAAAGGGAACAGCAGGTGGTCACGCACCTGGAAAGAGTGAGTGAGTTAAGCACACGACTGTGTGGCATGATTGTATTTCGTGTGTGAAATGAGACGACGACCCCTCACGATACGTGAGGTTTTTTTTTCCTCTAATTTTTGCAGTTCTTAAAACGAAAATTTTTTCCCAAAAAAAAAATAATTTACCTAACAGCTGCGTAACAGACGATAAAAAATAATTTCTTGCAAATTCGTCTACTTTATTATTGGAGTAGGAATAATTTCCCTCTGGTTGCATATTGTCCATTATTTCGAAAAACTAAATGTTTTATGCAAATAAAATAATTTAGCAGTCATTTTTAGTCTTACTTTTTTAAACAGTGTTGCTTATCAAAAAATAGTAGAATCCCGGATACAATAACATTTTTAAGGGGCTAAGATGAATTTAAATATTTGTTTATCAAATATCTTTTTGACGATGCGGTGTAAATTAAATTTTCCATTCGGGGAGATGCGAGCCGATCGAGCATCTTGTCAGTAATGGCCCTTCTTCGGGGGTTCGTTCGCTTATAGAGTCCAGTGGTGGGGGGATGCTCTGATTGGCTGGCAGTGGTTGCCGCTAATAACCTGTCAATTCTTTTCGTTTCTAATAGAAAATAATATTAAATTTTCCTTAGTAAATTTCGAAAGGAAGAGAATCTTTGTTTTGACAAAAGAAAATCAAAAGAGAATTGTGTGAGTGGAAAAAAATTTAGAAAAGTAAATGACATAAGAGGTATACTCGAGGCTTTTGTGAAACTTTGAGCTTCAACTTTTTAGCACTAATTCCAAGCAACAAATGAGATAATCTCCAAGGACAATTCGTTTCGGATTCTCAAAAATTAGATTGGCTGGGTATTCTTTTGAAAGATTAAGTACATTTTCACGTACGTTGGGAAAACTGAAGGCGTCTTTGATGTACAGAGATAGCACAACAGACACCCTGGACTTGAATGAGGATGAGGATGTTACGGAAAAACGTGCTGAATATACCGGGAGCGTTCCTTTTTTTATTCCCTCTTATCTCACCTCTCTTTTCTTTCCTCCTTTTTTTCGCCCTTCTTTCTTCAATTTCGTGTACTTTCTTTTTCTATCTTCGTCACTTGAATTCCACTAGAGAAATTCCTTCTCTCTTTCTCTTAGGCATTCTTTCTCTCTTTCTCTCTTTATAGGGTTTATCTTCTTTTTTCACCTTTGAGAGTTCCTTTAGACGACCTTCGCTTTTTCACGCGAGGATCAACCAAGAACTACTTTCTTTGATGCTCCTAATTCACTAAATTATTATTCTTTGAGGGACTTCTTTTGTCGCACTCGACGCTTCTCCAAGAGACAAAAAAAGAGAATGAGAGAATATTCTCCAACCGTGTTTTTAGTTTTACGTTTATTCCCCGGTATACATACTTTCATATATATATATATATATATCTTCAGGAAAAAAAAATATATATATATATCCATTATTAGGTTAGAGTTAGAAACAAAAAACTTTTCTAGTGTTCTCATACTGATGCACTTTCGAGGTTCAAAAACTAATTTTCAGGAACATTTTCTACATTCCATTTTTATTTCCATCTTTCAAAGGAATTTTTGACATTTTATCGTATCGAATTTTTTCATTCTCGAATAATTTTTATATTTAAAATAATTTCTATCAAAAATATCATAAGAATTAAGTTTTTTAACTAATTACCAATTCATTCTCTCGGGTGCTTCCGACGGATTAACATCATTTAATAATTTAGTCAAAACAACTTTAAAAGTTTAAACAAAGTTAAGAAAACTTACGAAGCAAACTAAAAAAAGTTGGTTATACTCTCAAACTGTCAAATTAATAAAAACAACTTTAACATTTTGAATAAAGGTAAGCAAACTAAAAAAAATTGGTTATACTTTCAAACTGTCAAATTAATAAAAACAATTTTAAAATTTTGAACAAAGCTAAGCAAACTTTCGAAGCAAATTAAAAAAAATTTGCTATACTCTCAAACTGTCAAATTAATAAAAACAACTTTAAAAGTTCAAACAAAAGTTAAGAAAACTTTTGAAGCAAATTAAAAAAAATTGGTTATACTCTCAAACTGTCAAATTAATAAAAACAACTTTAAAATTTTGAACAAAGGTAAGAAAACTTACGAAACAAACTAAAAAAATTGGTTATACTCTCAAACTGTCAAATTAATAAAAACAACTTTAAAATTTTGAACAAAGCTAAGCAAACTTTTGAAGCAAATTAAAAAAAATTGGTTATACTCTCAAACTGTCAAATTAATAAAAACAACTTTAAAAGTTGATACAAAGTTAAGAAAACTTACGAAGCAAACTAAAACAAGTTGATTATACTCTCAAACTGTCAAATAATAAACAAAATTTACTTGTAACGTTAAAACGATGGTAAGAAAAATTTTGAAACTAAGCAAAAATAACGGTTAATTAATCTTAAACTGTCGAATAATAAACAAAAATTATTATAGTATAGTAAGCAACTCTTTATAAGAAGAATTATTTTTATTCTTCTTATTACTTTCATTTTTATTATTTTTATCATTTTTATTACTTTTATTTTTACTTTTTTTATTATTTCTATTACTTTTATTTTTATTAATCATCCACAAGTTTCGAACGTTATGAACAAAATATTTTTGTTAAAATTTTTTAATAAATTTTCGATTGCAATAAAAATTGGAAATTATCATTTTACATTTCGAAATTTAATAATTCATTTCATTGGCAGTGACGATGAAAAAATTATTGTAATAAATATTTAATTTAAAGAAAAAATAAATTTGAATGTTCAAAACTTTGGGAAATATTTTTTTCGTTTTTTAGTTTTAATTATTAAAGTACGCTATTATAATTATAATATAAGTAATTATATGTTCTTTTTCTTTTGACGTTATATACGTAATTATAATTAGTTAATTATAACAAAAAATGAGAATGTAAAAGAAATTAAAATTTTTCTTTTTTAAATTAAATTTATATTTTTAAAATTAAAATTATATTTTTTAATTAAGATTATATAAAAGTTGAAAAAATTTTAAATACGTAAGTTGAAAATTGGGTACGATTATTATTTGTTTTTAAGAATAGAGAAAAAAATTTACTCTTGACCTAATTTTTAACAAATTAGATTTATATCTGTTCCAGTAAACTTAAAGAAATTCTATTTAGGTCACAAGTGTTTTTCTTTGTTTCCTTTCTTTCTTTCTTTCTTTATCTCCCTACGTCCAATAATAATTTCCCAACGAAAAACATTTAGAACCAATAAAATTAATTTATTTGATAAAACGTTTACTATAAATACAAAAAACTTTTTTACTATTCTCTAAATTCGAATATACGGTTCAAATGAGGATTTTTGCTTTTTAATTTGATTTTTAAAGATAAATTTTCTTTTCGAAAAAAAAGTTTCATTTCTTTAAAAGCAGTAAAGTAGTGACAAAAAAATGAAGTATTTTAAAACCTATTTACTTATTGTTGTAATTATTGGTGTTAATTTGTGGCAATCTGATTCTTTTCAACTTCCTGTTAAAATAAGAAGTAAGTAAATTTTTGTTTCTAGTTATTTATTATTTTTTTAAATTCTATTTATTAATTCTCGACTTATTGTAATATTAGTATAAATATTAAATGTTAATTAAATTTTATAAACAATTTTTCTAGCATGTGCACAAGTCGATTCCAGTTTAGCTAGTAACACAACAACTTGTGGTAAGAAATAAATAAATATATAATTTTAAAGTAATTAAATTTATTCTGAAAATATTGTGTAAAATAAATAAAATTTATTTTATTTTTTTTTTGTTAAAAAGTTGTTACTAATTTCTAAAATTTTCTTTCTTAATTTATTTCAAAATCATATAAACAAATTTCCACTATTCATAGCTAATGAAAAATATTTTTGCTTTACAGAAATTTGTATAGATGTCAATGACGTAGGGAGATTCATTGAAGCTATTTGTAGTAAGAAGAGTTATTTTATACTATTATTTGTTTTATTTAATAATCAATTTTAAATAAATTAATTAAAATTTTATTAACAGAAATATTATAATACTTTTATAATTATTACTGCAATTTTTAAACATTTATATTTTTATAAAGTAATTTTTATTATTATTATTATATTATTTTATATTATTATTATATTTTATATTATTTTACTTTCTTTTATTAATATTAAATAATTAAATATTTATCTTGATTTTATTTATTTTAATTACTTATATAAACAGGATATTATAAAAATAAGTATTCAGATTGTTTTATAAAAATATAAATAATTAAAAAAATATTTTGAAAATTATAAATTTTAAAAGAAAAATGCATTTTTTTAGATACCAAGAACTGGAATACAAATCCATTTCCAATAAAGAAATTTGGATTATTCCATTTGTCCTTAAATCCATTTGGTGAAATATATAGATCAAAATGTATGAATGTTAAAAATATAATCACCGCAGCAGCGCCATTCGGCTTTGCTTCAACGATTAATTCATTAACTGAAACGAAGAGCCCTAAGAGAGATAGTGAAATTTGTGGTAAGTAAATTAACGATAAATATTTAAATAAAATAAATCTAATTTTCTCTTTAAATTAGCAAAATTAAAATGTTCACCTTTTTCAGTATCAGTAATAAAGTCGGCTTATGTAAATCCATGAAAGGTAAGATAAATTTTAGTAATTTAATATTAACTGTTTTAAAAATAAATAAATTTAAAAAAAAATTAATTTTTGTACACAAATAAATAAATTTGACTTGTTTTACAAAAATTAAAATATTTAATTTTTTTTCAGATGTCGGAATCGAATTACAATCAGTATTTTTTTATTTATTGAAAGAAAAATGTATTGCTTAGAGAAAAAAATGTTTAAATAAAATAAACGATAAAAAAAGAAAAGAAAATAATAAAAATAAATAGAATAAAAAATTAATAAATTATACTTTTTTGAAAAATTACTAAAACAGTTTATTTTTTTCCCGATGAAAAAATCCTAGTTCTTTCTTTATTATTAAAAGGAAAATAAAATGTTTTACTCCTAAAAAATAAATAATAAATAAAACTTGACTTTGTTGCAAAATTGTAAAAAAAATAATTTTTAAAAAGAAAATTGGGTGGAAATTTTGAAAATAAAATAATAAGGGTACTAATTTTCTTTTTTTTTTTTTTGAAATATTAGGGGGGGGATTATATTGTAAACACTGTGTGTCAAGTTATTACTTTAGTTTAAAGAGACAATAAAATAATGAAAGGCGCAAGTTTTGCGATCATATACGGTATGAGATTATAAAGTTATTCGAGTCACCTACTGTGTATGTATATAAGTACGTCAATTAAAATTGTAATTACACTGTTTTAACTAGGTTACAGTAGAATGAAATTGCCGTTCTTGCAACATGCATATTTCTCAAAATAGTTTGACTAAACAAACATTAGATTTGCTCCACCACATGTTTCTTCCCTTACAAAATATATATATTTCCTGAACAAAAGAGAGAGAGAGAGAGAGAGAGAGAGAGAGAGAGAGAGAGAGAGAGAGAGAGAGAGAGAGAGACTTCATTTCACCAATATTGGACCAGCATTTATTACTCTACTCATATGAGAGCCAAGAATATTTACAACCATCGCCAATAAAATTTTAAATTACGACATTTTTTCATTTTTAAAAAAAAATTCTTTTTTGTCTCTCTATGTTGAATTTTTATTCTATTTTCTTTAAAACGAATTATTATTTCAATTATTATTAATTATTTTATTTATTAATTTTAAAATGATTTTTATTGCCTTTAACCATGTGTTTGTATCTGCAATTAATAAATAAATAAATTAATTTTTGGGTTAATTTAAATATTTCTTTTTATTATTTATTTATTATTATTATTATTATTTATTATTACAATTTGTTGTTAAATATTATTTGATATTACAATTTGTTGTTAATTATTAGTTAATATTATCAAAAATACGTCAAGATCACGTAACATAAGAATTAGCGGCAACAATTATCAATGAGAAAAGTTATATTTATTTTCTAAAATTGAGAAACAGACGCGAATTAAGAAATAGGTCGAAGAAAAAGTACTGCTAGATATTTAAAAATGTAAAATTATTTTTATGTCAATTGGTAATTTTTCGAAACTTGAATGATTAATAGAAGACGAGATAAAATAAACTTTAACTCATTAGCTGCTTTTTTTTTTTTTTTTTTTGAATAAAGGAGAAAAAAGAACAAAGGAAAAAAATTATATCAAAGGAAGTTGACGATCATTTTAAAACTCCCGACTCTCCCATTGATATCCAAATTGGAATCAGTTGAAGCAAAAATTTTACTGCTCTTAACTTTGCATCGTTTATGCTTCCTTTTATTCAATGAGAGGAAAAAGAGAAAAAAAGAGAGAGGAGGGGGGGGGGGGTGGATAAAGAAAGAGAGAAAAAGAGGGAAGAAAGAAAGTAAAAAAAAAAAACGAATCTGCGGACAAAAGTGCCGAAAAGCAAAAGGTACGCATGAGCATACATGACGTATCCCATCGGTACTTGATAGATCACTCGAGCATACACTGCACTCTCAAGTGCATACGAGTGCAGTGTGTATATATTTCTATTAAAAAAAAGAACACAGAGAGGGAGAAAGAAAAAGTCAAATAGTTTTTAGGTTTTTTTTTGTGTTCAAGCATCGTGCAATTCCTTAAATGCACTCGTCGGCATTCTCTTATATATATACATTTAAAGGGAATATAATGTTGGTACATATTAATTCCACCGTTTAGTGCCCTCAAGCATTGAAATCTCAACAGTTTTAATCAAATATTTAACTTTCTCTATTTTCCCCTTATCGAGGATGATAATTAAATTGATATTCTCCTTGTTATTCCTACTAATTTACACACATTCCAACAACCACAGGAAAATTTCTATTTATTCAGTCAGAGCTTTGTTTTCTAATTTCAACATTATTTAACTGAATTCACGTACTATATATAAATTTATATAAATCTATAGTTATTCAAGTCACGAATGAATGTGAAATTTGAGAATTAGTTGCTTTTTGGTAAGATATTTAAAGAATTGAGAAAATTCTGGAATTTCTGTTCTTGATCTGAATAATCCAAATGATAGAGTTTAGTTTATAGTTTCAGTAATTAAATGATGGGATCTGGATATGCTAATCATTTTACCGTTGACTGTAGATAAACAATAACTATTTTAGGATCTTTAAGTTTTAATGACATATCTGACTTAGGGACAGTTTTTCAACCCTTCCCCCAAGGTATGCAACTGTTTATTGGTTATTTTCGGATTCAGTAGGGTAAAAAATATTAAAAAATAGTCTTCTTTTACTTTCCAGTTCTGGGACACCCTACTGTCACATGCGACAAATTTTGTACCTAAAATTGAACTCTAAAAAACAAATCCGCCCCCAAAAAAATTTCTTCACTGAAAATAAATGCGTTTACGCAATTTAACAAGAAATGTTCTAAATCAAACTTGTCTTCATTCCACTTAGTGCAATGCGTACCCACGTACAATCTATCATCTCGGGTGAAATGTAATTTCTAATTCTCCCTCGAATGTGTCAGAGTACCGCAAGAAGGAAATTCAAATTTGGTTGCAAGTTTCCAAGTGCGTAGAGTTGTCAGTTTGCACTTATAGTTGGAATTGTGTGAGCGCATATATGAGATGAGACGATGGTTTTGTGAAGAGATGAGGTCAGAATTGGGGGAGGGAGGGAGGAAAGGTGTCTAAAAGTGTGAGGAAGATGGAGGGCGAGTTGTATGACGGAGGGAGAAAGAGACAGAGAGCAACAGGTTGCAAGTAGAATGCACGAGAGTGACAAGTCAGAGGCAAGAGACGAGAGAGAGAGAGAGAGAGAGGGAGGGAGGGAAAATTTGCTCGAGGCAGTCCATGAACCAGCATCGCGCGCTCCTGCTTCTTATTATGACTATACCCACTTGGCTGTATTACTAACGTGTCTCCGGATCTTTTCTCTAAATTTAGCTCAAGGAACACCCAACTCGAGAAACGAGAAAGAGAACTAAGATTAATCTCCCTATCACTTCAAGTGAAAAAATTCCCTTCCAAATGATTTTCTTTTTTTCCTCCTATGAAAAGTTTTTCTAATTCACCAGCTGCTTTAATTTTTTAATCTACGAAATAAAAATCTCTACCATTCTTTTCATCATACAAAAATCGTACAACTAAATTTAAGAATAATCAATATTTCTCTAAAACAGAATTTAGAAAATTATATTGAAAACTTATTTTAGAGAATATATTTCAAATGTTCACAGATTTGTCTTTTTACACGTTGAGATCTTAACAGAAATAATATTGCCTCCTTTAGAAATTTTTTTGAAGAATTTACTGTTTTATAACTATAATCCTAAACACCTACAACATGATGGTCACATCTGCACTTTTATTATTATTATCGAAAACTTCCTAGCTACCAAGTTACATAAAAATACAAATAGTTTTCTAGAAATTGTCCGCCATATTAGATCCGCCATTTTGGATTTTGAAAAGTTGTCTTCTAATTCGTAAAAAGGCCCCTAGATAGCTAGTGATCATCAACCTACGTGTTGTTTCATTTAAATTTGAATAAATTTTTTGTACGGAATTGTTGATTAGACATTTTCCTTAAATTGATAAGTATACCAGTGATTTAAAAAAAATATTTCAAAACCAGCGATAAACTGTAATAATAGACAGTTTAATAATTCACAGTAAAAAGCATATTTATAATTAAAGTCATTAGGAGATCGATATTGTATAAACAGTACAACAATTTTGGTGGAAACGATTTTCATTTAAGCACAATGAAATGGCGATACAATGACAATAATAAGTCCATTACAGATAAAACTGTTTTGCCTCAATCTCGTTACAATATTAAACAGAAGAGATAATAATCGTTAACACTAAATATAGTTGATGGTCTATATTAAAAGCTTGTCAATTATTAAAAGTAGCTTTAATTTTCTTTATTTTCCGTTACTTTTTTCCCGTTTGAGATATATATTTAGAGATGAAATTATAAATTTAAAGAATTTAAAAAAATTTTTCTTATAACTTCGCTTCTTTTTCTTGCTTTATTTCTGTTTTAGATTCATTTCAACCTATTTCTCGATAGACTGTTTTAAAGTAATTTTCTTTAATTCTCGTTTGGTGTAAATCTCTCTTCCTCTATTTTTTTTCTCTCACTTTTTTTTCATTTCTTTTTAACAAACTTTTCTCCTTTTTCTTCTCCCCTCCCTTCTCCTGCTTTACTTAGTCCCGTTTCTTTTTTCTCCTTCTCTGTCCCTTTCCTTTTTCTTTTTCCACTCTTTTCTTTGATTCTTTCTTTTTCTCCTGCCTTTTCTTCCCTTCTTTATTTTTTCCATTTCTCTAACCTTAACCCTTTTTACCTCTCCCTTTCTTTTTTCTCCTCCACTTTCCTTCTCCTTTATAAATTCCCCTCTTCCCCTTTCCTTTTCTTATTTCACTCTTTTCTTTCTCTCTTTCTTTTTCTCCTCCCTTTTCTTCCCTACTTTCTTTTTCCTCTTTCTCCTATCTTGTCCTTCTCCTCTCTTTACTTCTTCCTTTCTTATTCTCTTTTTTCTTTCCCCCTATTTTTCCTTTTCTTCTCCTCTTGTTTCTTTTTCTCCTGTCTTCTACATTTTCCCTCTCCTTTTCTTTTTTCCCCTCCCTGTTGCCCCTATTTTTCTTTTTTCCCTTTCTACACTCTTTTATTATTTTTGCCCTCCTCCCTTCCCTTTTCTTATTTCCCTCTTTTAATTTCTCCTACTGTTCTCCTTTTTCCCTTTCTTACTTTTTCTCTTTCACTCTTTTCTTCTCATTTTATA